CACGTTTAGATTGAATGGTAATTTATAATCAGTCACAAGAACGTCGAATCTGAATCACTTGAAAAAAACACGGGGGTGCTTAACTTTTTTCCAGGTGTATATATATTAAATTATTAAATTTTTGTTACTAGAAAGAAATTAAAGTAGTTACAGTTGCAATGTTAATTTCATATTCTACACGCTCATGACACAATGCAATTCATCCGATCCATCTCTGCAGTCCTTTGTACCATCACAGATCTTATCTTTTGTTAGACACAGCCCTAGAGGGCATCGCTTTCCTATGCACTGATCTTCTTTGTCCAAAGAAAAAGGCTGAGCTATATGATAATAACAAAGTGCTATCTTAAGATCCATCTGCCTACAAGGTGTACATGCAAAACATAGAAACACTGAAAATATCTTTTTTATGAAATATACATGTAAACTCAAAATTTCAGTTACATGTCTCTATAAAATATACAAGCAAACTTAGGAGTGTTGTTAAATGTTTCTATAAAATACACATGGAAGCTAAGAAGTATTGTTAAATCCCTATAAAATATATATGCAAACTTAGGAGTATGGATAATTGTTTCTATAAAACATGTGGTAATTCAAGGATACACCTAGCACACAGTCATTTGATCTCTGCAAAAATTAGAGGTCAATGGATCTAATATGTTGAAAGACAGGTGTAGTGATTTTTTACAGATGGAATAATGGAGACAAAACACAATGTTGAAATTTGAAAATGAGTTATTAAAAAAACAGAAGTGTAGTTGATCAGGAAGGTGGTGACTGTTGTGTTGGGAAATAAAAAAATTATAATGTATTGAAATAAACAGTAGTGTACACAATTAGTGGATGGAAAGGGGTATAGGTGGACAAGGACTGAACTTTGTTGGTGAGTACTGACACTTGTAGAATTAGCAGATGGAAAGGAGTATATATGAACAAGAACTGGACTTCATCAGTGAATCTTGGCACTCACACATGATTAGTAGATGGTATGGGGTATACATGGACAAGGACTGGACTTCAGCAGAGAGTCTTGGCACTCACACATGATCAGCAGATGGAATGGGGTATACATGGACAAGGACTGGACTTCATTAGTGAGTCTTGGCACTCACAGATGATTAGCAGATGTAATGGGGTACACATGGACTGGACTTTGTCAGAGAGTCTTGGCACTATCCCATGATTAGTTGGTAGAAAATAGTAGATATGAACAAGGACTGGACTTTGTCATTAAATCTTGACACTCACACATGATTAGCAGATGGAATGGGGTATACATGGACAAGGACTGGACTTCATTAGTGAGTCTTGGCATTCACATGATTAGCAGATGGAATGGGGTATACATGAACAAGGAATGGACTTTGTCAGTTAATCTTGGCACTCACACATGTAAAATGAACTCTCTTCCCCAAAAATTGAAATGACTATGCAAAAACACTAAAACTGCATTCACAACACATATTTTCTCTGTAGATATCCAATCAGAAAACAGGCATCAAAAGATGAAAATATTTCTGATCCATGTAGCAGCTACAAGGTAGTCCACACATAGCAGAAAACAATGCAACAATTCCATGAAACAGTAGATAATTTCCTTGACCTGACAGTCTAAAGAAAGTAACACCTCAGACAGAATCTAACATGTGAGCTCTACTGGATTTCTAAATAATAACTTAGAAAACCTTCAAAATATGTATATATTTTATGAAAGTAGGGTATGTAGGGTTTGCATACTTTTACATGTGTTCTTAGAAATCCAATTTATAATTCATAAAACTGATTTAAGTTATCTTTTTATTCAGTAACACAATACTTTATAATTTACCCAGCAATGAATTAATCCACTGTAAATAGTTAACAACTTTTGTGTATACACCAGGCCTTCCTGGTCTTCCACAGCCATCACCATTGCTGGTCACTCCAGTAAGAGTCCAGTGTCTATTTGAATTTGGACACATCAATGGACCCCCAGAATCTCCCTTAAAAAACAAAAAAAAAGCAATTAAAAACCCTTCTTTTAAACTCAGTATATTCTATTACTTATTTGTAATAGATATGTATATGAATACACATTTTCCTCACACTACAACCAGCATTACAAGTCTCTAGTTAAAGGTGTGGTGTGATCTCACTCCAGACATTATTTATGTTTTATACCATACCTAGAGAAGTACAGTGAATTTCAAAAAGCAGAAGAATGTGCTACAGGCAGATTTATACCTAGCTTGAGTAGATATATATATTTTAGAGTTATATATAGTGCTTGTGTATCTCCATATATCACTCTTTATTATGATGAAAACACTTTTCATTCTTCAAATAATGTTCTTGGAAGCTTCATATTGTGGTCACAAAAATATGTATTTATTATCAGTAGATATATATACACATATATATAGATATATATGTATAGATATGTAAATGCACAGGGTGGTTATAAAAACTTATGAATTCATGATTATATCATAAAAACTACTTGCTCTAGGAGAATGTAATTTCAAAAGAAGCATAGTGACAATCACAAATGTTATCCAGGTAAGTTTGGACATGGTAAACAGTTTGGTCTTGAATATTTTGAGCATTCTCCACTACTGTTTCTGTAGATAAAGATACTACAAAGTACTAGGATCATACCTTGCAGATCCAGCTGTCTTGAATGATGAATTAATTTTCTAACATTTCTAAAGCACTTATAAGTTTTCTGTTTATAATTGCATTCTGATTAAAGTAAAACTGGTACTATTTTGAAATAACAGCTCCAAGATTCTACCCACTGATGTACAGTTTATTCAAATCACTATTCTATTATTGTTGAAAGAGACAGAATGAAAAAGAAAGAAAAGCAATGCTAGTTTCCAAGAAAAACAAATTAAGTATGCAGTGTGATATGGTTTTGAAATACCCTAATGGATAAACTTTCCTGAATATAACTTAGAACCTTGAACATTTCTCTGGTTAAAATTTTGTTCTCCTAGCTGGCCTAGTATGAGTAATTTTTAAATAAATAAATAATATTATAAATAAAGTTTTTGTTTTAATCACCCTGTACATATATATGTTCATGGCAATATACATACTTATGATGGTAGAACTATGATGTAAGCATCTACTAACGATGTGTTCAATGAAACACATATAACACATAACTCAAGTGTTAACAAATTCACATAAAAGATGCCACAGTTCCTCTGCTCTTCTTGCTAAAAAAAAAGTTCCTTAATCTTTGTATTACTGATGTGTTATTTCAATTACACGCACTAACTTCTCTAACAATATAAAATATCCATTACGAGACAAGCATCTTGACCTCCTCTGTCATAACCAGCACAAAAAACATTGTCTGTGATTTGGTACAGTGGTAGGAAGAATGTTTTCTTACGGCACTCTTCAGTAGAAATCATTGGTAGTTGAACTTCCTGGAGAGTGTCCGCTGAAAATAAAGTACGGAAAAGCTAAGGTTGATCTTAAAAGAATAGACACTGAAAGTTTCAGTACTTATAAGTATATTGTTCATCGAAATAAGAAAAGTATTTAAGAAACAGATTGTATGTAGTACTTAAATAAAATCTAAGTTGCCAAGATATCTTAAGAGCAACAATTTCAATTGACTTAAGTTCTGTGTAATGATTTATCAATAAAAGATTTCATTCAAATTTTGATTGACAATGACTGGTTGTTCTTTGTTTCTGTCCTCTATATGTTATTCAGTTTCATCAACAAAGGGAACTTCACAAACATAAAAAATACATCAAATCAAAGAGAAAAAATGTAACTTTTTAGCAATTTTATGGTTGCTTATTATAGGTATAGATATGACATATTAACAAATTATTACAAAAATCTAAGTTTGATGTAACTCTATTGAATAGGTCTTCAGAACAGTTCTTCTTCTTCTCACCTTCATTGCACAGTTCACTGTTATACCTCTCTCTGTGATGTGTGCCATTAACTTTCTGCATAAACTAATAATTATTGCACAATTTAGTCGACTTTCTCTGAGAAAAGTAGAGCAGCTGAAGGTTGTATATATATATATTTTTTTCAGTTTCTGATACTCAATACAACATCTACTTGTTGGACCTTGCTGTGTTAGTTTTTTTGCATTTTGTTTATGTTTTACTGACAAACCCATTTTGGGATAAATGTTATAGCTTGCTGTGCAACATGGTACTGCATGTACTTCTGAATCTGTTTCATTTAATATTTTAAGTACTTTAGTATAACCTTATGCATACTGCAAACTGTAGTGTCTGTCAAGCGTTCGTGTATCTTTCACTTGAAAAGCTGTGCACGCAGGTAAAGCTCGAAATTTACTTTTTAAAATATGGGAGAACAATCATGAATAATGTTGATGCCAAATTTTATTTCACAAGCAGGATATTCTACACTAAACTGTTAGGAATTAATCACACTATCACTCATATTTCCAAATGAGATGTAACTTAAAAAATAAAAATGTTGATTTACCATATGTTATTGTTGAGTGGCTCTTAGCATGACTGAAATGTTCAACAATTACTTTTCACAGTATAAGTAGCTCAGAGTTTTGGCTCTGAGTGAAACCAAGAGTCCAACAGAATTAACTTTTTTCAAAGTCCATGAAATAATTTAAATTGATAGATTAACTTAAACTTTTCCCATCACTGGGGATGGGTACTTTTGCTTGTATAACAATAAACACTCATTTTTTTCAATACATTTTTTATTGTATTATTAATTGGTAATGAAATAGATATTATATATCTGGATTTTCATTCATACAATAAATGTCATTACTTTATGAGGAAGCCCCATTTTCATTTTTTGCATAATGAATACCCTAAAAATCTCATTCTTTAACTTCAACCCCTTATTTCTGTTTTTTGTATTATTTTGCAAATAGCTTTGAGTGAGTATCACCAACTATTGAATAAAGCTCAACATGTAATCAAATAAAGCTTATTCAATAGAGTATATTTTCATTGACCATTTTTTATTGTGTAATATTCACACTATTAGTAAAAACCAACTTAAATTATTATGTTTTTCTTTAAATAGTAGTAACACTAAAACATATAATGCTACTTGTAACAAAAAGTAAAATGTTCAACTAGCATGAAAATTAAAAAATAGTTACACTCTATTATACATACATCAACAAATCTTGAATATTTCATCATTTCTAGGGAGAACTTACGAAATATCTGTCCAATCTCAAACAGTTTTCCCCACCCAGTGACAGTACACATTTGACCTTGTTGTTGACTTTTTGCATCTTCAGGGCTTGGCAAACAAACTGGACGTACATAGTCACTACAGATACATATATAAACAAAACTGGTATTATTGAATGTCATCCTTGAGATATAGAATGAAATAATAGTTAGACACATAAAATGAGTTTACCCCCACATGGATATCATTTTAGCCCTGTGGATGGAACTGATGGTTTTCTTACATGTATTATTTAGACAAAGCCATCCTCAGGATAGTGATTTATTCCAGCAACAAATGTATTATTATTGCAGTATATGAGTGTCACTACAACAATAAATACCACAAGTATTCTTAACAAAACATCTACTAAAGACTAGTACTTGAGCATCACTGTAACAATAAAGGCAACAAACATTCTTTACAAAACATCTACTAAATAATAATACTAATACTGGAGTGTCTCTGCAACTCGTTTACTCCATCATAAATCATGCCCATTCTAACTGCTGTTATCATATGGTATTGCCAGATACTACAGTTTCCATAGAAACAAACTTCTGTGAAGAATCATGGATAATAAGGTCAATCTTAAACTACACATTTTGACAAACTTTCCATAAACCAGGAATTAAGGATAGACAACAAATGTAAGCTGTTGCTGCCCCTGCTTGGACTTCTGTGTCCAGTAACATATTTAACCAAAGTAAGCTGTCACTGCCCCTGCTTGGACTTCTGTTTCCAGTAACACATTTACCCAAAGTAAGCTGTTGCTGCCCCTGCTTGGACTTCTGTTTCCAGTAACACATTTAACGAAAGTAAGCTGTCACTACCCCAGCTTGGACTTCTGTTTCCAGTAACACATTTAACCAAAGTAAGTTGTCACTACCCCAGCTTGGACTTCTGTTTCCAGTAACACATTTAACCAAAGTAAGTTGTCACTACCCCAGCTTGGACTTCTGTTTCCAGTAACACATTTAACCAAAGTATACATAAGCTGTCACTGCCTCAGCTTGTAATTCTGTTTCAAGTAACACATTTAACCAGATCAGAGACACAAATGTCCACTGAAGCTGAATTAGAAAACTTGACAAGCATGTGATTTACTAACAAACGTTAGTGGTTTAACCCTTTAGCTGAGTTGGTAAAGCACTTGCCTGACATGTGACAAGTCTCTGGTTCAAATTTATGGCATGAATATATATATATATATATATAATGTAAAAAAAATACCACATTGGAGCCCAACTAGTGGTTGTACTACAACCCTGAAATTAGGTCCACAGGCAGACCTTGTGAGAGGGGAAGAATGTAGTACTTTGAGTTCCTATAAAAAATAAGTTACTAGCAAATGCTACTGGGTTAACCCTTTAGTTCAGTTGTTAGAGCACTTGCCTTAAATGTGCCAGGTCTTGGGTTCAAATTTGAAGTGAAAAAAATACATTGTGAAAAAATAAGTTATAACAATTGTGAACTAAAGGTATACAGGTGTTAGATATGTAACCTGTCATGTCATGACTCATCTCTGTAGTGATACATTACTGCAATGTTCCACACAACTCATTCTTATAAAATGTAATTAACCATCTATAGTATCATGCAATAATAAACTTTATAAACACCTTTACAGAACATTTACTAAAGCATAATACTTCAGTTACTAAAGAATAGTATTTGAGTCACTTTAAAAATAAATGCAGCAAGTATTCTTTAAACATTTATTCACATAATCATGGCTGGTCAAGGGCATGAGATATGCACAGTTACTTACAATACTGTATTTTTTTTACAGGGACACCAAATGGTTATTATATTTTCAGTGTATGAACCTGTTTGTCTCAGCATGATTTTATTTACAACAATATCACGTCCACAATCAATTATAGTGACCTATAATCAATAAGTGTTTGTAAATTGAAGGTTTGCAAAACAAACCTGCAAATTGTGATATCCAAAAGTATGGATTAAGGATCATGTTTTAATTGATTTACTACTGTCATGCTTATTAAAGCTTTTAAGGAGAATGTAAGGGCATCAGTTTTTCATATTAACTACTTACATGACTACAATAGCAAAGACTAGTCTTGCACAGCATATTTCTCAATTATCAGTGTAATAATAAATAAAGTAAATACATTTACACATCTGCTGAGAAATGTGTTGAGTATGCTAATTTACTTTTATTTGGCAGTATAATTTAAATAATCAAATACCAGAGTACCTGAATAAGACAGGTTTTTCCAACCTCAACAGGGAAATATCATTGATAAATCCTTTATCCACATAATCTGGGTGAATTATTACATGAGAAATTCGCCGAACTTGTTCAAATGGAGAATGCACACGTGTTCCTCTTCTTAAAAGTCCTAATCTTGCTGCCCAATATGCTGATGGTGATCTGCAAGTGATAACCTACTTTTATTTGATAGGATCAGGCTATAACACAAACCAAAATGTGTCTATTATTATTAAAAACACTATAAATACAAATATATAAAAATACTTGATATAAAAATCTTATTTATTTTTCAAACAGTTTGGTGTATAAATATAAGGAATTTTGGCTATAATATTACCAATAATTTTTGACACTTGAGCAACAAATGTGTAGAGTACAGGCTTAAGTTTATGTTTGCCTAGATTCAGAAGTTTTTGTTTGTTGTTAAGCATAAAATTATGCAATGGGCTATCCGTGCTGTGCCAACTATGGGTACTGAAACCCAGTTTTAAACATTATAAGCCATCAGACTTACCATTGAGTCACTGGGGGTGGGGGATGGACCCAGAGCTGAGCAGAAGTACAGATTGCGATTCTCAGTTTAGAACAAGAGGGAATCCTCAATAGCCCCAGCACTTAAAATTATTTTAGGCAGAATTGGAGTAAATTATTCTATGAGACCTTTTTTTTCTCTTTTTATTAGCTATACTAAGCGTGGGGTGCACGTACCTGATTAGATTTTATTATTCATCGGGATCTTTACCAGCCTATCCTCAAGTTGAAATTCTTAGGCATGGTCAAATACATCAATTGAAAGGGGTCTGACCTCCTGGGTCCAAAACTTTAATTAAATCTCAAATGAGTCAAGAGATGACGGTGCTATGAGCTAAAAGTTGGTTCTTGAAAAAAAACTTGGAAGCCATTCTTTGAGTTGCTATGCCATAGCTAAAAATGTGTCAGAAAACTGATGCAAAACAGACTCCAAGTGGAATCCTCATGAGTCAAAAAAAATAATTTTTCTTTGTTTTCAGATAATAATAAGTCCAAATAAAATAAGAAATATAAGCAACAGATATCCTTAACTGGAAATTAGAAATAAATTTGAATTGAAAATGCTTGAGACATTTAAACTTAGAAAAATGTAAAAAATGTAACACAAAGTTAGAACACATTAAAAGCTGTTTCTAGTCTGTGTTAATGGCTTTAAATTCTCAATTGATCTTGTGAGTATTGTCCTCTCAGGTTAATTTGACAAGCAGTCAAATTAACTTGTAACAGTTCTTTTTATCTGTATATGTGATTATTGGATCTTTAATCTATCAATACTAACTTATATTGCCACTAGAAACCAAAAGTTCAATGAGAAAACAGGCATTGTCTAGAATGGCACAAGTATAGAGTCAACAACATGGTTATGAAAGACCAATAATGGGTTTACTGATCAAACTAAAACCACTAATAAAGTACTGGAAAAGTACTGAATTAAAAAAAATAACTGTAATCTAAAACTATACATTTTACGCTTAAACACAAAGTTGAAAGTGTTGATCGGCAAAAAGGGGATTATAAAACGTATCTGTTACTATAAATGAAAAAGTTGTCTCTACTTTTCTATGCAGAGTAGAATATTCAATAAAATAAACAAATAAAAAGAGTTAATTAAGACAAACTGTTATGAAAAAAGTTTTATTACCCAATATATTCTCTGCATAAAACAGAATTATCAAGAAAGTAACTTATTGTGCAGTATTACTGGAAAGAAAAGAATAACTTGCCTATAAAAACAATGACCAGCAGAAACCAGCCACTGATTATTAATCAGCACAGCACCACATTGAAACTCTCCTTCTCTGTATAGTGCCACTTGCCATGGCCAAGCACCAACCATAGAACTCTGGCCTCCAATTACCCGTCCTTGTATGCCTTGTGACAATGGTCTAACACCACATTCTATAAAAATATCCATTTAAGCCACCTTAAACTGAGCAATTAACTCAGAGTTTCTGTTTTTTTAAATCTTATTTACTTCAGTTTACAGAATTTCTGTCAATTACATGCAAATGTACAAAAGTTTAAGCTGAGAAACTTGCATCTAATATTAAATGGGAACAAAGCAAAAATCCAAACTAATTATCAACTGCATCTGATCAATATTAAGTCAAAGACCATTATTATTTGATATACAAAATTCTTATTAGTTAATTGATCAAAGAATGGCACTATTGGTTGTTTGTGCAATAATGTTTAATTTTGATTATTGACTTCCATATATTTTGTTATTTTTCTTACCTAACTGAACAGGAGTTGAATGCAAAGAACTAAACTCAGTTGCTAAAAACATTTGATAAGACAAATAAATGGGAATAGGGGGAGCTGCAGGTCAATAATTCAACGTTAACACAAATTGTAGTTTTAAAAAACCAATATCTGAAGCTAAGGTGATTATTAAAATCTTACCAAGGTTTGAGCAAGATAAATAGATTACATCTCTTGTCTTACACAGTGTAGATCGGTATGTATGCCCGGAGGAACTGTAAAGTGAAAAAGAAAATCAGTATAATCTGGAATCAAAAATAGCATCAGGTGTAGATATGAGTAAGCTAAACATGAGTAATAACTAATAACACACATATTTCTTTCACTTTTTCCTCTTATAATGTTTGATTGTGAAGCACAAAGCTACATAATAGGCTATCTATGCTCTGCCCACTGTGGGTCTGGAAACCTGCTCTCAGACATATCACTGAGTCACAAGGGGCCCCCAAATTATGGAAAATATGATGCATAAAAACATATTAATCAACTTCATAAATATTACATATTAAATCAGCTTGGAGGTTTACAGGTGATGAACACATGTCATCAGAAAGATACAGAGATGAAAGTGGCACAGTACTACTAGGCATCTTAAACTATTTTTGTGCTTGTTCTACATGTATTCTTACAGACTGCAATCATTTTGAATGCTGTAACATCCTCTCCAATAAACTGAGGTTTATCTTTAATGGAAGCTGAGATATTAAGATTCACTTTTCTGTGATAAAGTAAATTATCAATTGTAAATTAAACCTCTATCAGCCTTTATTATTATTGTATACATATATAAGAAAATACACAGACACACACACATACATCAGAGTGTAACACAACTGACAATGAAGAAAAAAAAACAACAAAAAACAAACAGTTTTATAATTTGAGAAATGAACAGACCAATAAACATATATCTTGCTCTGATAAAACTTTAACTATCATGAAAAGAAGTTCCTTATACTGGTAGAATGAGAGAGTAAAATCCAAGAATGAAGATAGAGAGTAAACAATTTGATAAAAACATAATACAAATGATTAAATTCATCCTGTGAAAATGTATCCACAAATATATTACCTCATTAGAATTTCAGCTTCGGATACAGATAGATCCACTTCAAAGTAGGACAAACCCCACGGATGTATATCTTTTGTTTTTATTATACTGGTTACAAATCTTTAAAAAAAATTAATAATGGAGAAATTATTTATTGATTGGTAAACAATTATTATGAAACTACTGAACATATGTAAGCTACTAATAAACATACTACCAAGTCTTATGTACTTTAAAATAAATTATACAATACTGAAGCCAACTTGTTGTTATTAATTAACCAATTATATCAAATTTCATTTAAAAGTATTAGTACAATAATACTTGGAATACTTGTCATGGACTTGAAAAAATATTAAATATCATTATAAACAGGGCAGAAGACTGCACTTAAATAATAATGTGGTTGTACTGAATCATTCACTGAGTATAACATAACAATGTTTTGGGACAACATGGGACCTATTGGTCTATCTTTAAAAAATCTTAAAGCCAGCCCTTA